ACTCATCGCCAGCACTGCGCCTCCCTCGTGATCCATCTACCGCGCGCGTCAGTCTGTGCAGTCTGTACTGTTGTGGGGAGCGGTGCCGCAGTGGTGAGCGCGCTGCGCTACAAACCCGGCGACCCGAGTTCGATTCTCGCTCACGGCCAACACCAGTGACAATTATCTGAACCGGTTTAAGGACTCCCCTAGGTCCACTCAGCCTAAAATTAGTACCATGTGCGGTGTGTTAACATCGCCACGAGGAGGACAAAGGCGGTCGGGCGTGGTGCTGGCCACCCAAACACTTCCTCGTGTGGCTTGCCGGCTTCGAAGGTGCTACTCGCTAACAGCACTTGCCCCAACAGTCTGTTCAAGGCTAAAGGGCGAATCTTTGTCTTAAATATACAATTGGGCGAAATTATAACGAAACCAATGTTAACTATCTATCCTCCTATAATAATGATGGCAATGCGCACGTGACATGGCGATGGTAGATCTGTGATGTCACGACGGTATCACGATGGTAACACATTACGTGTCTCTACACGGCATGAGAGTAGCCGTGTGTGTCGATACTCTGTATCTTTGTATCATCTGTGCAGAGTATTAACATCGTGTGTGCATATATACCATTGTTATTTTGTAACTAATATACCGGATATGCACGATTGTGTAGACACACGTATTATATATATAAATATTGTGTCTGTATAATGCACAGTACATAATTAGTGTTGTGCGTCTGTAATGTACCATGTATAATTAGTATTTAATGTCTACAATGCACTCTACATGACGATGATTGTGTGTCTATAGTTTGGCTCCATCTCGCCTCCTCTCGGCCTCCACATCTAGGACTTAGTGTTTTAAACATGTTTATAAGAATGTATAAAATATAGGACAATATATAGGATTACTTGCATATGCATAAACGTTAATTCTAGTGGTAGTGGCAGTGCCTTACGCCGATATCCCCTACTCTACGCAAAGCCTAGCAGCAGTGAAGCGCTGTGTATATGTCTGTACACACGAATAAAGAATGCTGATGCGTGTGCATACCAAACACAAATGTTGTGTATGTGCACACTCCGTGTTGGCGTGATGCACACCTTGCATGTGTGTGTGGGTGTCGACGAGACGCAGCGTGCGTGTGTACTGCACATTGGTGATGACGCGTGTAAACGCGGCTGCAACTACACACATAAATACTCTTACACAGAGCAACACATAACTACACATTACACACAAAGGCATAAACATACCATGCCGCCGATACACACACACAGGAGCATCTCGCACGCACTCACAAACATAAACAGACACGCGAGCCCGCGGCGCGTAAATACACATGACACACACACACATAACCGCGAAGCACACACACATAAATACACATTACGCGGACAGCCAGCACACACACACACACACGCTTATGCCGACACACAGACGCATATATACTAACAAAGACAAAGGTCCCCGTATAGCCTTTAACAGACAGTTGGGCCGACACGGCAAATGGGCTCAGCAGGCTGCCAGCACGACCCGGCCGCCTTTGTCTTCCCAATGCTGATGTTCACATTCCGCGACCAGATACTCGTTTAAGACTGAGTCGGACTTGGGGAGGGGTTCTGGACCGGTGCAGATATCCGCCACCGATGTTGGCTGTAAGACGGGAATCGAACTCGGGTCCGGCCCGGGTTAGGAGCGCAATGCGCTAACCACCGCTGTCCACACGCACAGAGACAAATACACCTCGGACACCCTGAACAGACTGTTGGGACACATACTTTTAGCGAGCGCCTATTAAGGCCATATGCACACACACGTTATAGATATATACACATGCATGCACATAAATCCACACACTACACACACACACACCACGTATTCATACACACGGACGCGCATACGCCCTGCGCCCTAACACGCTGTGCATACACCAACACGTGTACACAAAACACCCATCTCGCCCTGTAGCCCACACACACAGGCGCGCACCAATAGATCACTCATTGTGCAAGATCACTCGAGCGCGTGACAGCGACAGCAGAGTCTGTGCAGACACACGCACACCACCCGCGTACACGCGGGACACATCGACACTGCACGCATCACACGTATACACAACATATATACACAACATACATCACACCACACATACACACACACGTACGTGTACAACACCGCGCACGTGCACATATGCACGAATCTGCAGTGTGTGGGATGATAACGATGAGCGTAAGTTCTAGGAATGAGAGAGGTGACATTTTGCACAAATGCAGTCGAGTGTTTTGAGTACAGTACAAGAAAATTATTGATTCACACGCTCATCATCATCGTCGGTGAACCGAGTCATTTGCCGCTGGCGGAGTGTGACGATAATGCCGACGGAAAGCTGCAAGCGAGCGAGACCCCCCCCCCCTCCCCGTGTCGGCACCCGGGCCCCCTCTCTCACTCTCAGCCTCCACTGCACTGCGTCATGCTGCTGCTGCTGCACTATCCACGTTGAATATCGCGTGCAGATACAACGCGGCGCCGTCTCGCCGCAATTCGCGGGGCAAGTGCCGCAGGCGGCGCCGACGTGGGCCGCTCGGCCACGCGGAGCGGCAGCGGCGATATCTAATAACCGCGGCGAGTTCTAATCTGAGGCTGAGGTTACTACGAACGGTGCGAAATAAGTTCAACATACCTACGTGCACCGTATATTTATACACACACATACATGTATATGCTAATACATACACACGTAGACATGTGTGTACACACACGTGTACATACATATATACTTATGTACATGCACGAGTGAGTCGAGGCCTGGAGCGCGGGTCAGGTGCGCGCGGGGTCGATGATGTTGACGATGTTGACGATGATGATGTTGTTGCTGATGGTAATAATGGTGGTGGTGATGGTCGTGTTGGTGCTGATGGTGATGATGGTGATAATGGTGGTGGTGATTTAATTTTTTACCTACGTGACTTTACCGAAAAAACCCAAGAATATGAATCATTGCAGTCACGAAAGCTTCAAATCTAGAAAGGTGATGGTAGTGGTGGTGCTGATGTGGTGATGGTGGTGTTGATAGTAGTGTTGGTGCTGATGGTGATGATGGTGGTGATGGTGGTGGTGGTGATGGTCGTTTTGGTGATGATGGTGATGATGCGTGCGCGCGCGCGTGTGAGTAAATCGGCCACTCAATCATACACGCACATTCACACAAATACAATGCTAAAGACCACCCATATAGTCTTTAACAGACTTCGGGCAAGTAATGTTAGCGAGCACCTATTTAGACCGGAGTGGAGTGGCCAGTACTGCGCTCTGGGGGACACTCACTCCCACTCACTCACACTCACTCACTCCCACTCACTCACACTCACTCACTGTCGCACTCACTCACGCTCACACCCGCATTCACTCACTCACTCTCACACTCATTCACACACTCACTCTCACACTCACGCTCCCTCACTCACGCATGCACTCGCTCACTCACACTCACTAACTCTCACACTCACCCACTCTCACACTCACCCACTCTCACACTCACCCACTCTCACATTCACTCACTCGCACTCACGCAGACCCTCCCGTGTCGCCTCGACTCGCCAAGCGCGCGTCTCCGTGGCTCCACGAGGCCGCGCGCCGCTCCCGGGACGGGATGGGGAGGAACGGGAATCAAAGAAAAGAAAACAAAGAGGGGGGCACAGGGAGGGGGGGGGCGTGCGGTGCTGGAAAGGGTCTCTTCACAGCAGCACCCTACCTCTGGGGAGGCGCAGGGAGTCGAGGCGGGTGCTGAGCGCGGGGAGTGACGCGAGGCGGAGACCCCAGGACGTGGACCCGCGACGGAGCCCGGAGACACGCGGGGAGACGCGGGCGATGCGATGGGAGCAGCAGCAGCAGCGGCAGCGGCAACAGAGAAGAGGAGCAGGGAGAGGAGCAGGGAGAGGAGCGGGGAGAGGAGGAACGGAGATAATCGGGGGGTACATGAGCGAGGAGAGGAGACGCGAGGAGAGCCGCCGCGCTCCCGTGCGGCTCTGTCCCCGCTGGTGCCCTCGCGGCTGATGAATCCAATGAGAGGCGAATCCACGCAGCTTCGCAACGCCGCCTCCACCTTCCCGAGCCGTGGGGAGGAGCGCGACTACGCCACCGGCAGCGGCCATCGCTCAAAATTCACCTCAAACACGGGGGGGAACTTTCATCCGCCGGGCTCGCGTCTGGTTTTGTGAGATTTGGGGGGGCCGGTGGGGGTTTCGAGGGGGGGGGGAGTGGTTGATGTTGTTGAGGAAACTGAGCAGAGGGAGAGCGCAGCGCGGATCTGTGCGCGCGGCCCGGGACTCGGGGAGAGATGGGAGCCCCGAACCGCGATTTGTGCGCAGCGTGTCCAGCTTCATCAGCACCCCCATCATCATCATCTTCATCATCATCATCTCTCGCTACTGCACCACCACCATCGCACGCTGCGCCACCATCCCCATCATCATCAAGCTTCACCAGTGCCTCACGCTAGACCATCCCCGTCATCCAACGCTGCACCATCATCTCACAACTTACCATCATCATGTCACGGAGGATCAACATCATGGTCATCATCTCACACCTCAACATTATCATCCGACGTCCCAACATAGTCATCATCATCATCTCACGCCGCACACTCACATCACTCCGGCTCATCCCTGTTGAGCTTCGTTCATCTTCCAAGCGGTACCTATCATCTCCTTTGACCACAAGCTGTATCTCCTGCTCATCTCCGCTCATCTCTGCTCATGTTTGTCCCTCTCCCCCCCGCTCCCCCGGGCCCCCGTGGTGCTGAGTGAGCGAGCGAGCCCGCGTGGCCCCGCGCGTGCCCGTGCTAAGTGCCGCTGCCATCGCGAACGCGCGCGCGCACTCGCGGCGCGGGGGGGGGGGGCTGAGGGAGGGGCGAGGCGACGCTAATTCGGGGGGGAGGAGGAGGAGGGGGAGGAGGGGTGCAAGGGGAGGGGGGAGTCAGTAGCCCTCACCTCGTCAGATCTCATTGGCTGTGATTGCGTGACGGCCCTGATTTAGGTGGCTCATAAGGCCGGCCCATTAGGCGTCGCGCCGTTATATTCATCGGCCGGCGGCGACGCGCGGCCACTGCCGCGTGGCATCAACTTTAACAGCTACGACATCGACGATAAGAACAACGGCGACATCGACCAGTGTGACGAGAGCGAGCAGAGCGGGCGGCGGGAGACGAGCGTGAAACGAGATCAGGGGAGATTAGGGGCGAGAGCGCGGAGGAGGAGGGGGGGGGGCGGGAGCCGCCCGGCGCGGCAGCAGCAGCCTCGCGATGCTGTCGCACGCAGACATGCTGGACTCGCGACTCGTGCAGAGGAACATGTACTCCGCCGAGGGTGAGACGCCGCGGCCAGACACGCAGAGACACGCCGAGTCAAAACTCCAAGCGCCGAGTTGCGCAGACACACGCACCTCATCAAGTCCCGCTCGGAGACTTAGAGAGAGACACGCGGAGACACTATCGAGACACCCTTATACCAGAGACACGCCACGCGGAGACATACTGAGACACGCCGAGACACACCGAGACACGCGGAGACATACTGAGACACACGGAGACACCGAGACACGCGCAGACACCGAGACACGCGGAGACACGCGGAGACACCGAGACACGCGGAGACACGCGGAGACACCGAGACACGCGGAGACACGCGGAGACACCGAGACACGCGGAGACACCGAGAAACGCGGAGACACGCGGAGACACCGAGACACGCGGAGACACCGAGACACGCAATGATGCGCGCGGCGAGCGGAACTCCCGTTTCCATTCATCTCCATTAGCGCGGCGTGTTTACATTCGCGCGCGCTGGCGTGCGAGCAGCAGCAGCACGTGTCTCTTCGCGAGCGAGGGGACCGGGAAGGGGACCTCTGCTAGTCGGGATCCTGGTGGGGAGAACTCCGAAGACGACAGGGGTCCCGAGTGAGAGGGATTTTTGGAATTGGAGACTCCGCTAAAGGCGCCCTGGCTAAGAGGGACCCCCCCGAAGGGGGCTCAAATAATGGAGACCCCCCCCATCTCACGGACCCCCCACCCATCACTCCCCCCCTTCTTTTCGTATGTTCAGGTCTCAAGGATCACTCTGAGATGCTGCGAGTCGCCGAGGCCAGCAAGTGTCGCCTGGTCGGCGTGGGCGGCAACGGGAACGAGCACCCGTGCGTCTCGGGGGGGTGCGGGGCCCCGACGGAGTCACGATGCTCGGGGGGGACGACATGCAGCAGCAGCAGCAGAACCAGGGACCCGGCGGCGGAGGAGGAGGTGGTGGAGTAGGAGGAGGTGGAGGAGGTGGTGGAGGAGGAGGCGGCGGCTCGGGGCTGTCGGCTCTCAAGGAGCCGGACAGCAGCAAGCAGCAGTCGGGGGTGGCGCCGCAGAAGCAGAAGCGTCACCGCACGCGCTTCACGCCCGCGCAGCTCAACGAGCTGGAGCGCAGCTTCGCCAAGACGCACTACCCCGACATCTTCATGCGCGAGGAGCTGGCGCTGCGCATCGGCCTCACCGAGTCGCGCGTGCAGGTGCGTGCCGCGCGCGTGCAGGTGTGTGCACGTGTGCGCGGGGCGGGCGGGCGGGGCGACGGGTGTGCGTGTACACGTGCGGCAGCGTGTCGTTTGGATGCGTACGTATCGCGCGCGTGTGTGTGTACACGCGTGTGTTTGTACACGCGTGTGTGTGTACACGTGTGTGTGTACAGTGTGTGTACACGTGTGTGTGTGTGTACACGTGTGTGTGTGTACGCGCGGGTGATCGCGCGTGGTTTGTTGACGTGTGCGTGCAAGTCTGGTGTGCACGTGCGTGTACACGTGCGTGTGTTCACGTGTGTGTTCACGTGCGTGTACACGTGCGTGTGTATTCACGCGCGTGCGTATACACGTGCGCGTGTGCGGCCGCTGCCATCATTGTCATCGACACGGAGCTACGGTCGCTGCTATTCGCGCCGCGTCGTCGTCGTCGTCGTCGCGTTTTCGCTGTCGCACTCCGCCACCGCGAACCCATCGCCCTCTTGTCGACCCTGGCGTCGTCGTGTTGTTGTCGTCGTGGTGGTGGTAGTGGTTGTCGTGGTGGTGGTTGTTATCCTGGTAATTGCTATCGTGGTTGTGTTGTTGTTGTCGAGGTGGGTGTCGCTGTTTCTGAGGTTATCGCGGAAGAGCGCGAACGCAGCGCGACCGCGGCGCGCTGCGTTCGCGACCCACAATGTGGGCAGCTTGAGTCGCGGTCGTCGATCAATAAAAACACCCAAAACTACTCGAGAGTTACACGAGCGACAACCAGAATGTTGACAACAACAACAACAGCAACAACAGCAACAGCCGTAATCATCGCCTTGGTAACTCTCATTCATAGCGGCCATCGGGTGACGATCCTGGCAGAACAATCATAACTCTCAACACAAACAGCGGCAGTCCCAATCAGAGCGACAGCGTAACAATAGCAACTATGAGCATAGCTAACTCGTATTGCAATAGGCACTGATACGAATCGTGAATTGTAACACTAGTTCACTGGTTAGATATTACATAAGTTAAATAGTACAATAATAGTTAAATGTAACAATTGTTAACTGGTTAGCAATGGCAGTGGTTAAACTTGTTAGATTTGACAATGGTTAACTGGCACAACAAGAGCCACTCTACGCTACCGGAAGGTGTTTGCCGCTGCGTCCGCACCGTCAATTCCCGCAGAAGTTCCCGGCACGTGGAGCGAAACGTCGGACATAGCGTCACACACCACGGCACCGCGAGCCCACAGCGAGAGTAGCGCGGTAGCTGCGCAGTTACAATCGCCATCGCGTCAACAATAACCACAGCGGATGGGCAGCGATGACGCTGATGGTGGGGGTGATCGTGGTATTGGTTGTGGCGATGGTGGTGGCGATGATGATGGTGGTGGCGATGATGGTAATGATGATGGTGATGCTGGTAGTGATGATGGTAGTGTTGATGGTGATCGTGGTATTGGTGATGATGGTAGTGATGGTGATGATGATGGTGGTGGTGATGATGGTAGTGATGATGGTGATGGTGGTGGCGATGATGATGGTAGTGATGATGGTGGTGATGATGGTGACGATGATGGTGATGGTGGTGGTGATGATGATGGTGGCGATGATGATGGCGATGATGATGATGATGGTGGTGATGGTAGTGATGGTGATGATGGTAGTGATGATGGTGATGGTGGTGGTGATGATGGTGGTGATGTTGGTAGTGATGGTGATGGTAGTGATGATGGTGATGGTGGTGGTGATGATGGTGGTGATGATGATGGTGATGATGGTGAAAGTGGTGATGATGGTGATAGTGGTGGTGATGGTGGTGATGATAGTGGTGATTAGGTGATGGTGGTGATGATGGTGGTGATGATGTTGGTGATGGTGGTTTGTGTGTAAAGTTGCGCCGCGTCCGCGAAGTCCGAGCGATCATCGCCGCCGCGCCGCTCGGCGCGGGGCCTGCCTCGGCGTGAGAGCCGCGTGAACCCCGGGGGGACCCACGTCTCTCTACTTTACCCGCAGCGTGCCCACCACGTAAACATGTATGCGTCATTGTACAATCATTACTACGGTGAGGACTACTATTATATTATCATCATTGATACTGTCACGAGGGAGGGTCATGACCACCCGACAGGGGCCCGGGCGCGATGCCTCTCGTCGTCGTCGTCACCGCCGTCGTCGTCGTTGGCGGCGCGCGGTGTCGAGAGACGCGGCGGCCTCGTCGCTTCCCGCGGGCGGCGTCGATGTTGTGGCGCGCGCACTCCCACGGAGACAAAGCTCCCCCGGGTAGCCTGCACAGACTGTTGGGGCGAGTGCTGGTCACGGGCAGTGCCCGCGGAGGCCGGCGCGGCGCGCGACCAGATCGGGAGGTCCAGAACCGGTCCAGACGTCACTCGCCACTGACGTGAGCCGTGGCCAGGATCGGAACTGAGGTACGAGACTTGAAAGCGCGAACCCGCTGTCCGCTCCTTCAGTGCCCCCATGGCCAAGCACGGCGTGGCGAGGAGGCCTCACGCAGCACTGGGTTGTATGCGCGTGCGCACGCACGCAGATACGGCTACACATGCGAGCGTGAGTGTGTTTATGTATTTGCCTGTTGTGTTTACCAGTTGATATCTGTATTGGTGAATGTGTGCACATATGCGTACGTTTATAGTATAAGTATATATGTGTATGTTCTATATGTGTATACTGTATATATGTGCATGTTTCTGTCTTTGTACGCATTTGCGTATTTGTCGTGTGTGTTTATATAGAGCGGAGACACCCGAGGTCGATTCTCGTACTGGCCACCAACACCAGTGACGATTATCTGAACCGGTTCCGGGCCTCTCCTAGGTCGACTCAGCTTCAAATTAGTACCTGGTGCGATGCGTAAACATCAACATCATCGGCCAGGTGCAGTTGTGACCACCCCCTCGTGCGCCGTAGCGACCTTCATAGCTGCTCGCCAACAGCACTTGCCCCAACAGTCTGTGTAGGCTATACGGGGGATTCATACTCTTAGGTTTTTCCGGTAAAGTCACGTATGTAACAAAAAACCTAAGAATATGAATCCTTGCAGTCACGAAAGCTTAAAATCTAGAATTATACGGGGGATGTTTGTCGTTTTATATAATATTTATGTATGTGTGTGTGCATGTAATATGTATATGTAACTGCGATTACTCTATGTGGCTATGAATGTGTGTACGTGCGTGCCGGCATGGCAGGATGTTTGTACTCTTACCGCTCGCAACCTGTTCGCGTTCACGAGGAGGGGGGGGGGGGGTGCGTGGACCCGGGACTCGGTGCCTCTGCACCCGGGGGGGGGGGGGGGGGCTCAGTGCTGAGCGCACGAAGCTGCGTGCACGCCCTGAATAGGCGCTCGCTCACAGCGCGTGCCCCAACAGTCTGTGCAGGCCACATGGGGTCTGTGTGCTTTGTTTGCGAGCGTGTGTCTGGGTCTATTCAGCGTGTACACGCGCCGCACGACCTGTGTGTGTGTGCTGCTGCTGATGCCGCACGCTCTCGCCCTTATCAGATGACGTGCACGCTGTCGCGTACACACCCTCGTCTTACGTACGCGCCGTAGAGGTTCATATTTGCATTAGTCGTGATCGATCCACTGTTGAATGAAGGCTTCCCCCAGGTCGCCGCCTTGTATTCACCACGTCATGAAACAAACACGGCTGATTCTATATTATACAGAGTTATATATATATACCCGTAATAGAACGTACACGCTCATAAATACACTCCTATTGCTCTAAGATGATACACATGCACCGACACCAGTGACGATTAACCGAACCGGTCCTGGGCCTCCCCTAGGTCGACCCAGCCTCCAATGCGTGCCTGGTGCGGTGTGTAGATTTTACCACGAGGGAGACAAAGGCGGATGGGCGTGGTGCTCGCCACCCGTCCACTTCGTTGTGAGCCATGCCGGTCTTCGAAGGTGCCACTCGCTAACAGCACTTGCCCCAACAGTCTGTTACAAACTATTTGTGTCTAATAATGGTACACGTGTTGTAAATATAGAGGACGGTGCGGGGGGTGATGATGTTCTGGAAGGCGTAGACGGCTGAAACGTGGCACAAACGTTGTCGAGTCTCCGCTGAGCATTAAACAATCTCACACGCAAGCCCAGCAGCATCGGTGGACCGAGTAATTCGCCTCCCGCGGAGTGTGACGCTGAAGACGAAAGAGAGCGAGCCTAGCTCACTCACTCCGATGTCACTAAAACACGAAGGGAAATATCCCCCGCACATCCTGAACAGGCGGTTGGGGCAAGTACTATTCGCGAGAAACTACGAAGACCAGCAACACACTCGGCCACCTCTGTCT